AATTTCTGTAGACCAAAAATATATCAAAATGAAAATACACTGGAAAGAATTAAGAGGAGACAATATACTGCAGAGGAAAGAAGAGTGAACCTGAATATGTAGCAATAGAAACTATCCAAAATGAAGCACAGACAAGAAAAAAGCCTGAAAAAAAGAAAAAAAGAACAGAGACTTGGTGACTGATCTAAATACATTTAATTAGAATCTCAAAGGTAGAGGTCAGAGGTGGCAGAAAAAGCTTTCAGGAATTAGTGGCCAAAATTTTCCAAATCTGATGGAAAGGAAACACAATCTGCAGGTCCCAGAAGCTCGACATACCCCAAACAGGAGGAACGCAAAAAGAACCACACCAAAGCACATTACAATCAAATTGCTGAAAACAGTGGTTAAAAAACAAAACCCAAAAAACTTTAAAGCAGACAGAGGGGAAAAGACACATTACCCAGAGAAATGCAGATGAGAATTACAGAAGACTTTTTATCATAAATTATGCAAGCCAGAAGACAATTGAATGACATCTTTCAAGTGTTGAAAAGGAAAAAATATGTCAACCTAGAACTCTATATCCAGGGAAAATATCTTTCAAAAGTGAAGGCAAAATAAAACTGTTTTTCAGACAAACAAAAGTTGAGAGCATTTATTGCCAGTAGACTGGCATTATAAGAAACGTTAAATAAAAGAAGGACTTTTTTTTTTTTTGGTGAGGAAGATCAGCCCTGAGCTAACATCTGATGCCAATCTTCCTCTTTTTGCCAAGGAAGACTGGACCTGGGAAAAGAAGGACTTCAGGCAGTAAGAAAATGATGCCAGAGAGAAATCTGGATCTACATAAAGGAATGAGGAGCATCAGAAATGCTTAATGTGTAGGTAAATATAAAAGACATTTTATAATCTCTTATAATTTTTTAAAAAATAATTGACTATTTGAAGCAAAATACTAACAGTGTGTAGAAGCAAATGTATGACAACATTAGCACAAAAGACGAGAAGTGGAGAGTGGAAGTACACTGTTGTCATGTTCTTATGTTTTACAGGAAGTGATAACTATTATTTGAAGTTAGACTACAATAAGTTAAACTGTATGCTACGAACCCTAGAGTATCTACTGAAAAATAAAACAAAGAGGTAGAGCTAAAAGCCAACAGAGGTGAGAAAATGAAATCGTAAAAATAGTACTATATTACTTCAAAAGAAGGTAGGAAAAAAGGAAAAGTAGAAAATGGAAAAAAGAAAATGGAGCAAATAGAAAACAAATAGCAAGATAGTAGCTCAACCATGTAGCAAATAGAAAACAAATAGCAAGATAGTAGCTCAAGATAGTAAACTCAACCATGTCCATAATTATATTAAATCTAAGTGGTCTAAACACTTAAAAGACAGATATTAAAAGACAGATATTCTCAGATTAGATTAAAAAGAAACAAAGCAACCAACTATATGATTTCTACAAGAAACCTACTTTACATGGCAAAAGAAACCATCAACAAAATAAAAAGACAACCTACCAATTGGGAGAAGATATTTGCAAATCATATATCCAATAAAGGGTTAATATCCAAAATAGATAAAGAACTCATACAACTCAACAACAAAAAAACAAACAACCCAATTAAAAAATGGGCAGAGGATCTGAGCAGACATTTTTCCAAAGAAGATATACAGATGGACAACAAGCACATGAAAAGACGTTCAACATCACTAATTATTAGGGAAATGCAAATCAAAACTATAATGAGATATCACTTCATGTCCATCAGAATGGCTCTTATTAAAAAGACAAGACATAACAAGTGTTGGAGAGGATGTGGAGAAAAGGCAACCCTCAAACAGTGCTCGTGGGAATGTAAACTGGTGCAGCCACTATGGAAAACAGTATGGAAATTTCTTGAAAAATTAAGACTAGAACTACCATATGATCCAGATATTCCACTTCTGGGTATTTATCCAAAGAACATGAAACACTAATTCAAAAAGATATATGCACCCCTATGTTCAATGCAGCATTATTCACAATAGCCAAGATGTGGAAACAACCTAAGTGCCCATGAATGGATGAATGGATAAAGAAGATGTGGTATATACACAATGGAATACTACTCAGCCATAAAAAAAGACAAAATCGTGCCATTTGTGACAATGTGGATGGATCTTGAGGGTATTATGCTAAGCAAAGTAAGTCAGGTGGAGAAAGCCAAATACCATATAATTTCACTCACGTGGAAGAGAAAACACCGATGACAAACACATAGATACAGAGAACAGATTGGTGCTCACCAGAGGGGAAGGGGTGGAGAGGGTGAAAGAGGTAAAAGCACACGTCTACGGTGACAGATGGCGACTAGACTTTTGGTGGTGAACACGACGTAGTCTATACAGAAGTTGAAATATAATGATGTATACCTGAATTTATATAATGTTATAAACCAATGTGACCTAAATTTAAAAAAAGAAAATAGAGGCACCGGCCCTGTGGCGGAAGCAGTTAAGTGCACGCACTCCACTTCGCGGCCCAGGGTTCGCAGGTTCGGATCCCAGGCGCGCACTGATGCACTGCTTGGTAAGCCATGCTGTGGTGGTGTCCCATATAAAGTAGAGGAAGATGGGCACGGATGTTAGCTCAGGGCCACTCTTCCTCAAGAAAAAAGGGGAGGATTGGCATCGGATGTTAGCTCAGGGCTAGTCCTCCTCAAAGAAAAGGAAGGAAGGAAGGAAAGCAGGAAGGAAGGAAGGAAGGAAAATGGAAAAAAAAGAAATCTACTTTAAATATAAAGAAACAAGTTAAAAGTAAAATGATGGAGAAATGATACCACATAAACACAAATCAAAAGATTTGGTGGGTTTTATTTATCTAAAATACAGAAAGATTCTTTTGCACTCAGGACACAATCATTGGTGAGTAACATTTTAAAAGTGCCATACTGATCCCTAAGCACTAACCTTTGTCTAGAATAAAAAATAATCACACAGTACTGTAGAACAGAAATATAGTGGGAGCCCCGAAGTGAACCACATATGTAATTTTAACTTTTCTAATAGCCACATTTAAAAAAGTAAAAACAATACTGGTGGATACATGCCATTACACATTTGTCAAAACCCATAGAATGTATGAAACCAAGATTGCAATCAGTTCACCTAACCCATTACCTTCAGAGTGGTATCTATTGCCTGTCTGACCCCATTTTTCCATATGGTAGCCCCCTTACAGGCTTCCCTTATGACATTTTCTGAGGTGCAGAGAGCTAAGGAGACCACTGTTCCATTTTGCCTGGTACTAATAAAGTTCCTGGGACATGGGACTTTCAGTTTTAAAACTAGGACAGTGTCAGGCAAAGCAAGATGTGTTGATCACCTTATGCAGAGGTCATTTCCTGCTCAGGTACTTCCAGTGCCCAGCTGGGCTCAGAGCAACCATCAGTTCCCTCAGCTGAGCCGAGTTACCACAAGAATTGGGGAATTCTGGGCAGAGGAGACACATGTTGTGAGAGGGGGCTGAAAGCAACGAAGAGGTCTGGAAGAAGGTAAGAGGATCTGAAAGGATGGTGGCAGGGGTGCAGGGAGGGTGTGGAGAGGACGCTGGAGAAAGTGGTTGGGTCCACTTGCTAAGAACCTCTGACACCGTGTTAAATAACTGTACATCATTCCATCCTGTAAGAAAAGAGGTGGCCTCTCAGAGCGTTTGAAGCAAGAGAGCATCTTCAGAGCAGATGTTTTAGGATTTTTAGGATTATCATAATTTATTCATGTTTTCCTCTCGTAAACTTAAAAGACAGAGAATAGAGATGTAAAAGACATACAAACCGGGCCGGCCCCGTGGCTTAGCAGTTAGGTGCGCGCGCTCCACTGCTGGTGGCTGGGGTTCGGATCCCAGGCGTGCACTGACGCACCGCTTCTCTGGCAATGCTGAGGCCGCGTCCCACATACAGCGACTAGAAGGATGTGCAGCTATGACATACAACTATCTACTGGGGCTTTGGGGGAAAAAAATAAATAAATAAAATTAAAAAAAAAAAGATATACCAACCAACTTCAGTATATGGACTTTGGTAGGAACTTGAAAAACTGTAAAAGGAAATTATGAGATAACGAGGAAAAGCAAACACTTACTGGATATTTAATGATCTTAAGGAATTTAAAAATTTTAACTATGGTTATGCTGTTTTAAAAAGGGAGGGGAGAGAAAAACTGTATTAATTCAAGAACAGAGAGAGAGAAGGGGGGGGGAGAGAGAGACAGCGAGCTTTGACAGCCAGCGGACCCTCTCAAACCTTCCCCACAGTAGCTTCGGGGCTCAGGGGTGGAGTGCGGCCCCACCTCCAAATTGTCTCAACCTAAGTCTAAACTCAACCTGACATTCAAGGCTCTCCATGTCAAGATACACAAGCATTCCTCCCCCCAGCTTTTCCTGATAAGAATAGGGACTTAATAGGACAGCAAAGACACATTGAGACTACAGGTGCCAAAGAGCCTCGGCGGCGAATCCCTGCCTCGGGCCCTTGTGAGGGGACCGCGTCTGCGGCAGAGCCCCAGATTTTAGGGGAGGCCCAGTTGTCCCAGGAGACACGCCTCCTTTGAGTGTGAGGCAGCGTCTGGGCAGAAACGATATTAAGAGGATCACTGCGGGTATGTGAAAGGGAGAAGGCCCTTTGGTTCAGCCTTGGACTACGCCCTAGCTCTCAGGCGAACTTGCAGTGAGACCCTGGCCAGGTCAGTCCCCTCTGTGAGCCCCAGTGACCGCATCTGCAAACCTCGGGAGGTGGCAGAGACACTCTAAAGGCCCTTGCAGCTCTGCCATCCTGTTCTCCTCTTGGAGAACGCTGGCTGCTGGAATGGGCTGTAGAAACCCCCACACAGCCGATCCCTAACAAAGAGCCGGAGTCCGAGCACGGTCCCGCCCCCCGCAGGTTTTGGAAGCTCCGGGAGGCTGAGGGGCGGGGCCCGGGCGCGCGGCAGCCAATCACCGAAGGCCTCGGGCGCAGGGGCGGGGCCTCGCGGGCAGCAGCGGTGGCCGGTCGGGGGATAGCGTCCCGCGGCTCCGGACCCGGGCCGGACATGGGCGCGGTCCGGGGTTCCTTGCGAGGCGCGCTGCTGCTTCTCCTGGGCGTAGCGGGGGTCGCGGAGGGGGCAGGGGGCCTGGTCCCGGGCAGTGCGGGTGAGTGACTGCCGGAGCGGTGGTTCGGAGCGTCCGGCGCGTCCGCCTCAGCGCTCCAAGATGGCGCGGGCAGGGGGCGGGGTGCGCGCGACCGCCAGGGCGGACACGTCGGGTGACCCTGGGTCACGAGGTCCCGGCCGGCAGGGGCGGGGTGCGCGCGATCCCCGGGGCGCCACGTCGGGTGACCCCGGGTCCCGAGGT